GAATGACTATTTAAGGTAATAAATACTTTCCCAAAAAAAATTCATCTAGGCAAATGATAAAAAACAAGGCTTAAATTTATTATATTACTTCAAGTTAATGGATCCCTGTTGCTTGAACTACTAGTTAAATTAAAATAATGATTATTTCATTCCAGTAAATGACAAAAAAAATATTAGGGTTAAGGTGCATTTTTATTCTTGAACTTTTTTAGAGAAGCAATAGCGCTCTTCAAAAAAATAATTCAAAGATAAAATTACTTCACTTATTAATACAAGAGTCAAATTACTTCTCAATAAAAATTTTAGAAGTAAAAATGTACCTTGACTCAAAATATTAACTAGTGACAACTAATTTTCTCAAAATCCATTTTATCAATGTTTAAGTTAACAGGTCCTTAGAAATCAATAACTAGTTAAATTTATTTTAGGGCAAATTAATCTCTGAGTCCTTATAGTTTTATTTATTTTGAAATAAGTTTCTGTAATTTAATTTATTTTAATCAAACTTTTATAAGTTAATGGATTAAATATGCTAGTCTTTGGTTGTTAAAATCCTTTAACTTTTCCTATGAAAAAAATGAAATTAAGTACTTTTATATGTTTATTAAAAGATTATATAATTTTATAACTAATTATATAATTTTTATAACTCTAAATTTATATAATTAGCTTATGATTTCTAAATAAATTTCATATTTATAGAATTTTCTTAAAAAATATTGTATTAAATAAATTTTTTTGCCAAAAGTATTAAACCAAATTTTCTATAAATTTTAAAATTATTTATATATTGAAAAATTCAATCATTTATTAATAATTTTAACCTCCAAAGACTAGCATATTTAATCAATTAGACTATAAGTGCTAGATTAAAATAAAATAAATTATAGTACCAAATTCGAAATGAAAAAAATGAAAAGACCTTGCAAATTGATTTTTTCCCTTTATTTTAAATAACAATATTTCATATTTTCAATACTTATTTTGTATATTTTGATTACTTGTTTTTTTTAATAACATGTATATTTTGATTACTTATCTTTAGCATTCCTTAAAATATCTACTTCAATAACACAAATCTGAAATCCCAATCTTGACTTCTAAGAAATCAAAATTCTTTAAAATATCTACTTCAATATTTAAAATATATACTTTAATGTTACTAATGTTTTGACACATCAGACATCCCTCACAGTTTATATCATACCAAGTCTAGTGTCAATATTTATTTTGACTAATGTATACTTTTAATCCTTTAACTTTACACAAGGCTTCATTTTGATCCTTTAATTTTATAAAATATCTTTTCAATCCTTTAATCTTAACACCATTAGTTTCATCTCAAAATATTTTTACATTAAACTTTTAAATAATGACAAAACATTCTTAAATGTTGAGATATTAAGTTTAATTTTTTTTTGAAAAAATAACAATGTTTGGCATAAAAAATAACTATATGATACTAACGATGTTAGGGTTAACTATATGATACTAACGGTGTTAGGGTTAAGGAATTGAAAGATACTTATTACCCTCTCTCCCTTCCCGCTAACCCTCCCCAAACTCGGAGTATGAATATAGCTAACGAAATTAATACACACTCTATATATTACCAGGCATATTAAAATTTGTATTAATTCATTGGAATATATTTTTCACCAACAATTGATGAAATTTAAACCAAAAAAAAGTTATACAAATACGTTAGAATTTATATTTTTAAAATTATCAATATGTTACATAAAAATATATTATAACATGTACTGATAATGATATTTTATTATATATATATTTTTCTAAAAAGAATTATCATTAAATATATAATAATGTAATATAATAATAATGTAATTTTTGAGATCATTCTCTGGTCAATTAACAGTTAAGTTAACTTTTGTTAATAGTAACGGCCAAATTGTACTATTGTCAAAAATTGAGGAAACAATTTGAATAATAAATGAGTTTAGAGTTTATAATACTACTGAACCTAAAGTTTAGAGAATAATTTACTCATTTACCTTTTATAAACAAATACTAAAAACTAAACCTGTCATTGAACTAATCAAGACACTATTTCAAATGTTAAAGGACAAAACTCAAAACCGCAATCAAACCAATCATATTATTAAACCTATCAAAATACTAGTTTAAATGTTCAATTGGGCAAGCTAACCCGGATCACCATACCATTAAAAAAATAGAGAGAGAAAAGATAAGGAGAAAAATCTTGGCAAAATGATAATTAATTAAGGACCTCATAAGATCATTAATTACAATTAAGAGACTAAATTATTGAAATCTCAATGGTCCCTATTTGAAGTTAAAACAGTTGAGTCTACCTTGAAAAATCACGAAAAGACAATACTGAAGACAATTGTTAATCTTCATTAGAAAAACTAGGACATACTTGGGAATGAGATTAACAATAGTCCTAGCTTATATTAGTAATTTCAATAGTCCCAAGCCATAACACTTGGGATCTTGATTTTTTGAATTGAGATTAATAATAGTCTCAACTCATGACATTACCAAAAAAAAAATTGGATTAGTGATGGAAAATCAATACAAATTTCATCAATAACTATTTTAGAGACAAAATTAGTGATAGAATAAGTACATCAATAAAAATACTACCGCTAATTTTTTAGCTATGAAATTAATGACAAACAATTTCTATTACTAAACAAGGATAAGTTATTCCGATTCTACAATGGAAATTTCATTGCTTATGATAGGTCCATCAAAAAAATATTATTGCCACATCACCCGATAGGCTAGTGCCACCTCATCACCACATCCTTGCTATGTCATATATTAACTTTAAATAATTTCAAATGTGTTTTGGCCAAGCTTGAACAACTTCATAAGGCCTTTGCGTTCAACCTTATTGCTAGTTGAGCTGAAAGGAACCTCTAATCTTTAATTGATAAATTAAATATATAATATTTAACCCCCATATATATATAAATCAATAAATATATTATTTAGATATTCTTATTTATTTTAAATTATATTTATTTATCAACATGATAAATTAATTTTTTATATAATAATTATTTCCATTATATTATTTTTTAAAAAATATTCTTGATAGAAAATTTAATATTAAATTGAAAAAATATTTTATTATAATTATATATTATGTTATAATATTTATAATATATGATATTTTATATTTTTAAATTATTTATTTAAAAATATTTTTTATATGTTTTCAAACAGCAATAGTTGCGTATGATATAAAAAATATCAATAATTAAGTATACAATTTAAATTATTATTACTACTACTATTATTAATATCTAAATAATTAAAACTAATAAATTATAATTATTAAATTATTTATTTATTGCATAGTAATAAATTATATATAAATTTATATTACACATCATAAAATAAAATAAAAAATAATTTGTAATGGAATTAGCAACAAAATTATGATGGAAAGGTTTGTGATGGAATTTTCTATCACAAATGCTGTTACAAAATTAGAATAAGATATCTTGAAATTAGCAATGAACGTTTTCGTTAGTGTATTCTATCACTAAAATATTTCTAATAGTTTAATGATATAATTTTTAGTGATGGAACGTTCCGTCAGTAAAGTTATTTATGAAGCTTTAGCCACAAAATATCAATGGAATTTTTACCAATGGAATGTTCTGTCAAAAAATTAGCAACATAATTAGCTAAGAATTAGTGATGGATTAGTGACAGAATAAATCCGTTGCCAAATCGCTGTTTTTTTTTCGTATTGTGATAGTAATTTTAATAAGGGAGAATGACAATTAAGGACCTGCTAAGAACATTAATCCCAATTACGGACCGTGAAATTTTGAAATCCTAGTTAAGGACCATGGTCCTTAATTGTGATTAAAAAAATGTAATTTGTGAGGTGGAATTCAGTATTGCCACTTGGGAATTCACTAACCCAACTTGAGAAAATTTGTAACGTATATTGTAAAAACATGAAATCCCAGTTGGAAATGGAATGTTTAACAAAAAGCACCATTTGAAAATTCACTAACTAGACTTGGAAAAATTTCTAACGTATATTGTGAAAACATGAAACTTTATTTGGGAATCGATTGTGTAATAAAAAACATCAATTTGGATAAGTCACTTTTTATTAATGATTCTCAACTGGGGTTTCATTTTTTCACAATATACGTTAGAAATTTTTTCAAATCTAGTTAGTGAATTCCCAAGTGGCGTTTTTTGTTAAACATTCCATTTCTAAGTAGGGTTTCATGTTTACACAATATACGTTAGTAATTTTCTCAAGTTCGGTTAGTGAATTCCTAAGTTGCGGTAGTGAATCCCACCTCACAAATTACATTTTTTTTATCACAATTAAGGACCATGGTCCTTAACTCTGATTTCAAAATTTCACGGTCCGTAATTAGGATTAATGTTCTTAGCAGGTCCTTAATTGTCATTCTCCCTTTTAATAATGTCTTTTCTTGATTTCCAAGTAGCTTACCTATATATTAACAAGCATAAAAATTTAAAAATGATTGTCCTCATATTAAAAAGTGACTTTGATAAATTTTCAAGTGACTATCATATATTAACAAGTTTTTTTTTTTGAAAGTTTCACAAATGAATTTTAGTTTCATATATATTAGGAAACAATCAATTCCCAAGTGTGCATCCTAGTTTTCCTGATTAATATTAACAATAGTTTCAATCTATAATAGTAATTTCAATAGTATTTTTTTCTTCATTTTTCAATTAAGCCTCGATGGCAGTTTTATAAACTCATATATGTTTTAAATTTCAAGTAACGATCATGGTTTATTATTGATATTTCAATAATTCGGGATCTCTAACTGTAAATAATGATCTTATGAGGTCAATAATTGTCATTTCCCAAAAAATCTGAGTCTCTTGTTGCTGTTATAAATAAGGGTGTGAAATTTGGGAATGCATATGCCAAGGAAGATATTAGTATTAGTGTAATAGTGTTCGTTTGAATCGAGATTAGTGATCAGAGAGAGGATATGTGGAGGCTAAAGTTAGGAGAAGGAGGAAAGGATCCGTACTTATTCAGTACTAACAACTTTGTGGGGAGGCAAACTTGGGAGTTTGATGCTGAAGATGGAACTGAGGAGGAAACAGCTCAGGTTGAAGCTGCTCGTCACAGCTTCTTATCTAGTCGCTTCCATCTTCTCTAATCTCCTTTGTTAATATATTTAATATTTTTACCCCAAAAAAGGGCGTATGTCACCAACGTGAATTTCACCTCTAAAATTTTTCTTTCTAAAGTAATATTTAATTTGCTTTTTTAAATTAAAACTATAATAGTTTCGGGGCTGATATTTATGTTCAGATTTTTTTCATAAAAAAAAAAGTGCAGAGTTTTGGAAGTCAAACATGGGATGCTAGCTTTGCCATTCAAGCTTTGCTTGCCACAAACCTAATTGAACAAGCTGCTCCCACACTTGCAAGAGGACATTATTTCATCAAGGAATCTCAGGTTTGTTTCATAATAATAATAGAAAGGTTAAAGTGTATTTTTTATTTTCTAACTTTATATAAGGTTTCAATTTAACTTTTTAATTTTATAAAACATTTTTTCTATCTTTTAGTGCTGTCAATCATTGTTATTTTTAAAAAATAAATTAATATGTAAACATTTAAAAATGTTTTGTTAATTAATATTTAAAATTTAACATAGAAATTTTTTATTGTTGAAAGTAATGATATTAATATTAAAATACTGAAAAGATACTTTTAAAAATTAGAAGACCAAAATGAAACATTATGTAAAATTAAAAAATTAAAAGCGTACTTTCACCTAATAGGAAAACCTATTCATGTTTCTTAATAATAGGAAAACCTATTCATATGACTTCGTGTTTGAGAAATCTCTGTGTGCAAGTGCATGTGTTGTATATGATTACTTCTCTGATCTTACTTATAGGACAAAGAAAGAGAATATTTATTTTGGTTCTATTTATAAAATATCTCAATAATTATTATATCTATCTTTACTCTTTTGCCCTTATTGAATGTTGGAAAGGTTATGTTTAATAGGAGTGCAATTGGAAACTTGTTTTTTAAATAGAATATATGAGGTTTGAGATTTTTTTTAAAATTTTGATAAAAATACTGAAAGTAACTTATGAATAGGACAAAAAGGAGTATATGTGAGCCCACGAGCTAGTGTAAAATAAATAAATATATAAAATGATGACCAATAACAATTTGTTCAGGTTAAAAATGACCCTTCTAGTGATTTCAAGAGCATGTATCGTCACATTTCAAAAGGGTCATGGACCTTTGCTGATCAAGACCATGGATTGCAGATTTTAGATGGTACCGCAGAAGGTTTAAAGGTGATTAACTAGATACTAATTATTTATGTGTAATTTTAACTTTACTTTATTATATATTTTCTCATATAATGGTAATATCATTGTTTGTTTTAGTGTTGTCTTCTTTTATCAAAGCTGCCTCTAGAGATTGTGGGCAAAAAGATGGAACCTGAGAGATTGTTTAATTATGTCAATATACTGTTATCATTTCAGGTGATTTTTTTTATTGGAATCAATTAATAATATTTAATTCAATGTGTTGTACAAATTTATGAATATATTTTTAATTATTTGCAGAGTAAAAAGGGTAGTGTAGCAGTTTGGGAACCAATTAGGGCTCAAGATTGGTTGGAAGTAAGAACTTGCACTTCATTAATATTTGAAGTGAACTAATGTTATGTTTGGATACATATGAATTTGGACAAAATCTCTAGTTTAAGTACTTAAAAATTTATGAATTTTGATATACCTGTATGTGTATGAATTTGAAATACATGTGTGATATTTTAAATTCCAAATTCAATTCCAAATTCACTAATCCAAACACTATCTAAGTATATTTTAGACTTTGAATAAATATAAGTACTACTTACTAATAAGGGTTAGGTCTAGTGAAAAAGATTAGTCTCTCACAACTTGGTAAACTGATATTTGAGTTCTTGCTAGGAGAGGATATTGTCTCTAGTAAAAGAATGCTTGTGTGCAATAAAAAAACACAAGTATGACTTCACATATGTAAATCTTTAAATTTAATCTCTTCATCAAGTACTTATATCACTTAACTTGATTTTATTTATAATTAGACCCCTTCAAAAATCTTTTTATATTTTTAAATATAAGGGAAATTTGCCATAAAATCTGTCATTGGGAGGGAAATTGTTTATATAGACCAAGACTAATTTAAGGACTAAATGCACATCAAGCCTATCACCTAACACTCCAAGCTTATCACTCAATTTGAGGAGCAAGGTCATAGGCTTGGGTCACCAGGTCATAGGCTTGGTGTGCAAGGTAATAGGCTAGGTCTAGTGTATATTTGGTCCTTAAATTGCCTTGGCCCCTTACAATAATTTCCCTCCAAATGATGGATTTTATGGCAATTTTCTCTAAATATAAAACCCTTTACAAAATCAAATGAAGTTATTTTTTCCTTCAAATTTCTCCTTTCTAATTATAATAATCTCTCCCTTGAAAGAAAATTACTTGATTTAGGATAGAGGTTAAAATGCTTGAATGAAGGGATATTAATTATATTTTTTTCAATATTACCCATGATGGGATATTAATTATATTTTTTCAATATTACCCTATTTAAACTCATTAATTATGAGAGAGAATGTAATGCAACTTTGAAAAAATTTCATTTAAATAGAGATAAAATTAGAAGTTTATTGTATTTTGAGACAAAATTAATGACTTAATCATCTTTCTTTAGTTCTAATGAAGTAATTTAAGGTTTCTTATAATAGAGACGGAGGGAGTATACAATACTTTAATTTTTTTCTTTTCAAAAAGGGTCTTGGTTAATACATTGATTAATTCAATAACCGGTGGTAATATGTTAATTAATTTGCTTGTTTGAGATGGCAGGTATTGAATCCTGTAGAATTTTTGGAGAATGTCGTAGTGGAGCGTGAATATGTTGAGTGCACTGGGACGACAATTCAAGCTTTGGTTTTGTTCAGAGAGATATATCCAACACATAGAGAGAAAGAGATCAAGAATTTTATTGACAATGCTATAAGATACATTGAAGATACACAAACTAAAGATGGTTCCTGGTATGGAGGTTGGGGAATTTGCTTCATTTATGCAACGATGTTTGCACTTGGTGGACTTTCTGCAGCTGGAAAGACTTATGACAATTGTGCCTCCATTCGCAAAGCTGTTAGCTTTCTACTTACAACACAAAAACAGGATGGTGGGTGGGGAGAGAGTTATCTTTCATGCCCTAAAAAGGTGAATCAATTTCTTCTAGGTTAAAAATAAGGATAAAAGAGTAAATTCACTCCTAAACTGTAGGTTCACGAGCGTCAAAGATCCTAAACTCAATTTTTGTGTAATGTTCCCCTTCAACTTGTGAAAAAGTGCAATCTAACTCTTACCATTAACAAAAGTTAGTTTTGACCACTAATTGACTAGAAAATGACATAAAAAATTACAAAAAAAAGACCAATAAAATTTTTTCTATCCTTTTCTATAATTCTCTAGGTCCTTATTTGTAATTTTTAAGTCATTTGTCGTAGCTTTTTATGTCATTTTCTTATCAATTAATTGTTAAAATTAACTCTTGTTAATGCTGAAGGTTAGATTGTAACATTTTTAAAAGTTCAAAGAAAACATTATACCAAAAATGTGTCTATAGTCTCAGACGTTTCTGAACTTATAGCTTAAGAGTCAATTTCCTCTTTTACCTTTTTAATAATGTTATTTTCTATTGACCATGATTATATAGTTTAATGACTTTGATGGATAATTCAGAAGTATGTAGCACTTGAAGGAAGTCGATCAAATGTAGTACAAACATCATGGGCTATGATGGGTCTTATTCATGCCGGGCAGGTAGTTCATTAAGCTTCTTCTTTAATTAGAACATTCTTGTTTAGATGATCTTAGACTATAAATATCATAGGCATGCATCTTATTTTGGGTCAAGCTTCTCTCTAGGCTTTATACAAGGACCATTTTACCGTGAGAGAGAACACAAATCATTTATCTATTGTCCAATTAACTCAAACATCTCATAATATAACTGAATATAGAAAATTCGACCCAAAATGGTTTAAAACACCCCATTCTTTATCCCATTCTAAAAAAGTTAAGGTATAAATTTATCCATGAAGAATTTTATGAGGAGCTACAGGTATCCTTAACTCAAGTATGGTGTAAGTTTAATCATGAACTTTAAAAAATAGTGCAAAATTCCCTAATTCATAATAGAGGCCGGTCAAATGTCCGTTGAATAAAGATTGTGAGTCCCACTTACTATGTCACGTGTAAATGGGATTAAGGGCAAAAATATCCATCATGTATTATACTATGGAGCAATTTTAAGCTAAATTAATGAGGTCTAAAGTTTTTCTTAATTTCAATAAAACATGCTAGAAATAACTTATAAATAGGACCAAAGAAAGTACATGTCTTTCCATTTTTGCACGTTCAGTCAAATAAAATTTTAGTGTTTCTTGTATTCATAGTCAACATTGATAAAATGTAGCTTTGTTATGGATTGTGGATTTTTGCACCATTTTTAGGATTGATTGACAAAATTGCACCATAGTGTATTGCTTTATGTATATTAACCTATTTACTTGCGGCATAGAAGACGAGTCCCACAACCCTTAGTTAATTGATGTTTGATGGCCTCTGTTATAGATTGGAGATTTTTGCACTGTTTTTCAGGGTTCATATGTAAAATTGTGCCATGCTTAAGTTAAGGATGTCAGTGACTCCTCATTGAATTATGAGTAGATTTGCATCTTGATCCTTCTAAAAAAAAGACCAAATTTCTACAAATATGAATGAACAATGCCTCTCAGTCCTTGATTCATTATGCATTTATTTGAGTTGATGTAGGCAAAGAGAGATCTAACTCCTCTTCATCGTGGAGCAAAAGTTGTAATTAATTCTCAATTAGAAGATGGGGATTGGCCACAACAAGGGAGTCTCTCTGTCTCTCTCTCTCTCTCATACTTATTTGGTTAATATAGTCAGTTAAATTTAAAATTGAAATTAAATATTTGTAAGTTATTTGTAGGAATCGACGGGAGCTTTTTTGAGTAATTGCGTAATACATTATCCAATGTATAGAAACGTCTTCCCACTGTGGGCTCTCTCTGAATATTACAAGCAAATTCCATTGCCGGTCCAAGCATCATAAGCAAAGTTGGCACGCTTCATATTGCAAATTAAGTAAGATTCCATGTATTTGAAGTATAAGGATGTGTTCAATTCTCTTGTAATCTGAATGAAGCACATCCCAAGTGAACAATATACAATAGGGATGAAGAACAAGTTCTCAATAGGGGTTGTTTTTCAATTACTATATAAATGCTTTAATGGTGTGTTTGAATGTACGAGGATTTGGATTGGGACAAAATTCTCCATTTAGATACATAAAAGTCTTTGGATTCCAAATCCAAATCTATGTCTTATTATAACTTATTTATAATTTCAAACAGAATTCAAAATCTATCAATACAAACGCTACCTAATATCTTACTGCTGAAGCCTCAATGCTTCTCAGTTTTCATCACCTATGACGCAAATATGTTCTAGTTTTGTCAGATATGGTTTTTGTTCTTCGTCCATTGCATTCAGATGCTGCCCCTCCGGATTACCCTTTCCATGGGTAGAACGGCTCCGTCCTCACTTAAACGGTGGCTGATGATCTAGATAGAATTAAGGGTGGGCAAATGCCCCACTCAAATATGTATTGTGATTTTTGAAAATTTGCACCTTCCATCTCCGTAATTTTGAACCCACAAGCTAGACTCAAAATAAACCATATTTGGATTATAGAAAATTTAAGCCTTTGATATTCTTTTTGAGTCTAATAGATTTTAAATTCCTTTTTTTCTTATAATAAAAAGTTTAGGTAAGTTAGGTCCCATGGGTTCACCAAAGTCAAGGCATGTTTCCAAATTCAAATAATACTTACAGAAATACTTATAAATCGCCCATTAACAAGGTCCTCAATTTTAAATTCTAAACCTATTAAATTTAAATTTATATTATTAATTTTTTATGTATAAGTTTATATTATTTTTATAGTATTTTAATTTTAATTTTCATTATTTTTATATTTTATACTCCCACAGATTTAGGGTTCTACGTCCGCCCCTGCACTTAAGTGAAATGTGGGGAAAACTTGGCAGTGTTGAAGCTGATTGATTTGAGTTATGAGTTCTAGCTTTTGGTGCCTGTAAAACTATTGGACCTACCAAAAGAAACAGATACATAATTGATAGCAAAGAGGATATTATTTACTATTCCTATATCAGCAAAACAAGGAAATCTGCCTCTAGTCATCAAAACGTCACAATTCACAGACAAGACAATTCTCAGGAAAATAATATAATGGGTTATCCACACACTATTGTTGATTCAGAAATTCTTGAAAAAAAAAATTAAAAGAATTTTCGTACCTTAACCCTAAAATAAAATATTAAGAGTGTTTGGAGGATTTTCCCCTTACTGGTCGTCGCAATTACATATCCATTTTGAGAAGGATGTTAATGCGTGTGTTAACTCATCTCGAAAATATCTTAACTAATCTCTATAAATAGGGGTGCCTACTATGAGTAAAAAACACACAGAATGAAAAATGCTCTCTACCAACAAAGGCATATTGCAGTTGGTCAAGGAGTCGGCCTTTACCCACAAGGGTGAAAGTTCGAATCCTGCTAACTAATGTGAATCACTCATTGGTGGGTGATCTATAATCCCTTCCGGATATCCTGAAAGAGGTTGGGAGTCTATGCTAGCCCTAGTGGGTTACCGGCGTCTATCCCATCTAAACTCTTGTTTATCAAAAAAAAAAAAACAAACAAACAAACAAACAAAGCTTTCTCTTCTCTTTCTTGTGAGGCGCAACGTCTACTATACAATATAGAACACGTTCTATTTTGGCAGTCTGCTCTCAGTGTGAGTGCTCTTAGAAGATATCCATGAAGCTTTGTTTGTTATTGTGCAATATATGTTACTGATACTACTTAAACATACATTGGGGATAATTAATTAATTTCAACTCCAAAGAACAACCAAGGCATATGTTTTTTTAATGAAAAAGTCAAATACATTAAAACAAAAGAAACAAGTACAATAAACATAGACTATATATAGAAATAGTGAAACCCACCAAACCACTTACAACACAAACATGAGGGCACAACTAAGCAGATAAACGAAGTGAGACATCTGTATATACAGCATATTCTCACTATCACTAAAAAAAAAAAGAAGAAGCAATACTTGTCGGTTTATTTTTAAAAACCTTATAGTGGCACCATATATTTCAAGGCCTTCTTATAATGTCAAATAAGGAGGGTTTTACTTGATGGCTATTTGGCCGTAACTATAAAATATTAACTTTTAAGTCTGACTTTTAGATGGTTTTAGAAGTAAATACTTGACAATTATTTAAAAATAATTGTCAAATATTTGCAAATACTTGATGGTTGTTATCAAATAGCCATCAAGTATATTTCGTAAAAATCTGGCCACAAAATTTATCATGAATACTAGATGGTTCTTTGAAAATAACTGTTAAGTATTTATAGTATTTTTTTTTATTGACAGGGGCTCCTTCCCTTTAAATTTTTTACAAACTACAACCAAAACAACCCAAACTAATTGACAGCAACAATAATATGAATCTATTTCATTAAAATTCTAGCGTCCAAATACGTTGAAATTCTAGTATCAATATCAACTCATCTTTCTCTTCAGTCATTTGAAATTTTTTAAACCGCTCAAACAAATAATATTAAATACAGGAATTTTAAATATGAGGTTTGAAATACGAGATTTCAAATCTAAAATTCAAATCTAAATCTACTAATCCAAACACTACTTGAGTGTACTTCTTCCTTTCTTCTAGTCCAGATTGTATCGTATCACATGCCTAAATAGATCAATACCATATGGAAAGGAGTTCAGTTTTGACTTTGTTCCTTGTATTATAATTAGTAGAATTCACAATTCAGGAATCGAATCAGCCAAAATTGATGAAAATATAATATCTAAAACGTATCTTTTAGTTTCGTTGTACTGAATCAGAAACGTTCATCCCAATTAAGCCTTTCAAAGAATTTCTCCGTCAAATTTTCAGATATATGTATATATATATTCATATACAAATTAATATTATTTGCCCGAAATCGTAAAACACAAAATAGAAAGTGATGAATTTAATCATACGAAAAGGAATGAAACAAACATTAAGAAACAACTTCAAAACGAGTGAATTTCATATTGTCTTCAAAGTAATATTTGTTCCTTAATTTAGTTGCAGAATATTCATAAAGTTGCTTCTAAAATTTTATCCATGGCGTGGATTATGAGTGAACTTGTTGCAGACAAATATATACAGTTTTGAAACTACTTCCAACAAATTCAAATGATGTGTTTGGATTAATGGGGATTTGGATCAAATAACTCATGTGAATATATAAAAATTTATGGATCCATTTCTTATTATATTTTCTTTATAATTTTAACTTCCCTCTACACCCTAGGTATTTGAAATTTTAGTTACTCCAAACCTCTCATTTTATTTGTGATTTTACTATTGATGCCTCTATCATACCCATATTTTTTCTTATTTCTCATCCTCATCTCTCATTGGTTGAAACATAGAGATAAATTCATCACTTTCAATTTTTTTTTCTTATTTCTTCATTTAAAATTTGTTAAACTACCCAAACAAAGAATTTTAAATGTAAGATTTGTAATGCATGCAAGATTTTAAATCTGAAATTTGAACCCATGTTCTTCAATCCAAATGCTTCCTTTAGAAAATCCATAGATCTTTTATTGATTAAATAATGTAAAAAAATTATTAAAAAATCTTCCAGGTTTCAAATATAACCCTCAGCCTTCTAGATTACACGATTAATAACAAATTTGTAAGGAAATATAGAGATTTAATTTGAAAGCATTAATATGCATGCGGACTAACATATTTAGCATATTCAATTAACTAAAGAAATGAACTAACTTTTTATCCTTATTTAATATATATTCGTATCTTTTGCTTAAAAAGGAATTAACTTTAACTATCCGATAACAACGAATTAAATTTCGGACCAACTCTGAGTCCTATATATACCTCTTCTTACACCCACACAAAACAAAGATTGACATCGACGATTATATTAAACTTTATCACTGCACTGTTGTTCTCACTCATTGTAGAAATGGCAAAGATTTCATTGAAATCTGTCTTCTTCCTTCTTGTCATTGTCATCTCAGGTGAATTCATCAACTACTATTATTTGATGTTCAAATTCTAATATTTATGGGAAATTGGGTTGCTTCGACATGCGTGTGTTAACATATGTATGCACGCAGATATAGACGCGTTCATATACAAATATAATGGGAAAACATAGCTAATGGTCCCTATAATTTTAATGTGTTTTGGTATAAATCTTTGTAGTTTTTTTTCATTCCTCTAGATCCTTCTACTTTACCCTATCTGTCATATTAGTTCTTCTATTTTTTTAATAAACTTAAAATGATGATGAGATGTCACTAACGGTGTCAAATATGTTGATCTATGACTAATGATGTCAATATGTGGTAAGATGAAATTATAATTCAGCATATAATTAGTAGTGTTGTCCACCCCATTTTGTGTCATGTTCCATTTTTGAATCTATTGAATCATATTTTCATCTCAACACAAAAATTAACAGCATTATTCACATGTTAGCATATTTAACATTGTAAGTGCCCCTTATTTGGGGATGGAGTCAGGGGGCTATTTTTAAATTTTTTGTTAGTCAAATGTAGGAGTTACATATTTTTGGCCTTCTTAAGTTTGCACATTAGGCTTGGAGACCCTGGAGAGAGTTCTCATTTCAATTCTACGTATAGTCTTTTACTTACTTTAGATATTATGGTTAAGATATTCTTCTAGAACAATGTGTGTATTTTTTTGTGATAACCAAGTTATGAAATTTATTTTATGAATGATTTTTACTATGATATAATTCAATCTCATTGATATAAAGATTTTACGACAATTGAGCATTATTACTGTGTTGATATATTGATTACTATCATCGATTGTCTATTCAAAGAATTAAATAGTAAATTTAATAAGCAAGCAATTGAGTTTCTTAGACTAAACACAACTTTGGATCCTAATTGTTT